TCTTACGATTGTAAGCTGTTTCCCGTTTTCTTTCAAATAAATTCTGTAATAACTCGGCTTTTCACGTAATATAAATAGACTTTAATTGCCTTTTTCTAAATACTTCGAAAAAATACTCAGGCAAAAAGTAAATGATGTTTTTTTTTATTTAAATAAAAAATAAAATAACATTTAGAAAACATTTTACCATTATTCACCAAAAATTATCAAAAGCAGTTTTTTCCAAAAGCCGTTTTTTCCACCCCTTTAGGGGGTCTACAAACTGGTTGGGTTCCATAAACTAGTTGGGGAATTTATTAGAAACTTTTAAAGAAAAAAAACAATATTTACACGAATTTTGGAAAAGAAAAACCCCGCTCTGCAGTTTTGGGAAGTATAAAACATGTTAATTTCTATTTTAGTTGTTTTGCAATTTTGGAAATTAATAAAAAACCAATGAAACCAAAGAACAACCAATGAATGAAAACAAATCATTTATATTTTTTTGTGGATAAAATAAATTATTTCGGAAGAAAATCGCGTTCTCTTTTTTATCATATAACACACATTTAAACATATTGTTCACACGCTACACAAAAAGTGGTCAACGACCATGGCAAATTAAATTATCTCGCTCTCACACACATTATATTTTATATTTTTATTACAATCTCTCCCCACATATTATAAATATCGCAATGAATGACTGTTTTGAGTTCAAAATATTTTCTTTTATAGTCCAAAATTCGATTTTTTTCAATCTGTTGACTTTTTAATCCATTCTATTTTTTGTAATTTTATCTAATTTAAAATTTAAATCGAAACCTAACAATGTTTTTGATTAATTCAATTAATATTTCAGTATAATAAAATATTAAATTTCAGTTGTTTATCAAGAATCATTTGAAATTATTATGGCAATAAATGGCGATTAAAATATTTATTGAAATTATTTTAATAAAAAACATTATTTTTATAAAATGTTTTTACTTTAGATGTATGTTATATTATACTATTATGTGTTATAATTATTAATAATATTTATATTTATGTACATTTATTAATTTATAAAATTATTATTTTATCAAGAATAATTATTCAAACATCAACTTATTCTTTAATAATTAACAGGGATCAGACACACAACATTCAAATGGTGTATTTAACATGTTGTTAACAGCTTTTTATCAACAGCAAAACTCACTCTTGATATCCAAGAATGTGGGTTTATTAAGTTGACTTTATTTATT